CAAGCAAAACGGACAGTACGCTGCGTTCACAGTGCTATGTGGAAATCGGACATATCAGCACTTAAAATGTGGCTGTTGAACTGCAAAATCTGGCATAATTTATCGCTCTTATACCGCAATTGGTGCTCAGTACTGTCTAAAACAGATTTCTAAATGGAAGTTTGTCACTGGCATCAATTTCTACACTGCCAGTCACATGAATATGGTGTAGGCTATATAAGTGTTGAGTCAGAATTTTTTTAGTTCCTACGTTCCCTGAAGGCACTGTCACTCATCATTCCACACCCTTCTCAGTTGATGCCACGCCGCCCACGCCACATCAGGGTCTGAAACTCAAAAAACAGATTTGAAACTGAAAAGAAAAAAAAAGATCTGAAAGTGAAAAAAAGATCTGAAAGTGAAAAAATAAGATTTGAATCTGAAAAGATAAAACATGCAACTGAAAAAAAGACCTCAAATGTTAAAATAGATATGGAAGTGAAAAGTGAAAATAAATTATTCATTCAAAAGCGTTAACAAAATGAATCAAAATTATATTTAACCTGAAAAAAACGTTTCATACACTTATTTTTATTTTGAATACATTGTTGTATTTTTCAAAATTCAAGATCAACACATGAATTTTCAGTTTCAAATTTTATTTTTTCAAGTACAAAACATTTGACCCTAATGTAGCTCCATAAGTAGCCTGTTTAATCACAGTCAAAACAGTGGGCGACAAATCTGTAACTTCCCATGATCTAAATTTTTCCACCAATAACTTAAAATAACTTCAGTCAAGATCTGATTCTTCCCTTAGTTTCATTCAGTAAAATTCATTAGATGGAGGGGGACACATGTATGAGCCCTGATAAAGACCAGATAATGAAAGATGATACAGGATTCTGTGTGGATACTCAAATGGTTGAACTGACTTAAAGTGAGAAATATTGATGTAGTACATACTTTGTAAAAATCTCTGATCTTATAACTGTGTGTGTCCACAGTGTATCCAAAAATCCTAAATAGCTCTAAGTGTGAGCTTCAGTCGGTGGTCTTGACTTGTGTGTGTATCAGTGAGGGGTTTCCTTTACCCACAATCAAATGGCCGCTGTTGAAGAACCAAGCAGAGTACTCTGTTACGACCACTGTGTCAAACCACAGAGTCAACAGCACCCTCACCCTAACTGTAAAAGAACACAGCAACACTGCTGTTGAGTGTGTGAGCAGCAGTGAAGTTGGGGAAGCAAAGGCAAACCTCATCATCGTGACTTCAGAGAGGCGAGAAGGTGAACACACACACACACACACACACACACACACATCAGCAATCAGTGATATCAATAAGAATGTACTGAGAACAAACTGTGTGTTGGTGTGAAAGGAACATTGTCCATCAGCTGGAACACAAACCCCACTGTCGGCTATTATTTGTATATTCTTGAATAATTACATCAAAAGACATTAAAATAACACTTGAACAGTTATACAACCTACATTTCCTCATCTCTAATAGCAGATGAACATGGACCGTGTGCAGTGCTTCTCTGGACTGTCGTCGCTGTTGTATCTCTCATTGTGAATGTCCTCTGCATAATCCTCTTGATGTTCCTTTGGTATGTTACTGCTTCATCATTTTAAGCTCTGAAGGCTCTGTTAATGCAGTAGAGACTTTGACATCAGGTGTCTCTCTTTATTCTCTCCAAAGGATCACAAGAAAAAAGGTGAAACCAAACCAAGAGGACAGAACGTACATGTCACTGAAGAAAACAGACCCATCACCAGAGTATGATGTGATTGTCTAACCTCTGAGCTAACAAGTGTCAGCTTCCCCTGAGTGAAGGAGAAGACAGCAAGTCCATACTTCCATTCAACATTTGTCATCATTTATATATATATATACAACATTTTTTTGTGTTATTTGAATATAATTTTAACTTAAATTTAGAATTATACAATAATTTTCAATTCATGACACCCAATTGACCTTTCACTAAGCCCCGTCCCTTTGTGATGGTCCAACAAGCTGTCGCAGTAAGCATGGAGCCCACACTGTAACTAACTGCACTCCCTGATAAATATTATCATATTTTTGGAAAACTGAAACAGTGATTCCAGAGAGAAGCAGACAGAGAGGTCGACAGCCTGTGTTTGAAGGATATATCCAGGATGTCAAACTGACTCAGCAGCAACAACAGGTTAAAAAGCTAAAGCCGAACTATAGGCTACAGATCACAGTGTAAAAGTGAACCACCACATCACTGCTGATCACCACAGAAGACAATGAATATAAAGGGAAACTTTGCTGATATTGAACCAGCTGTGTGTCATCACAGTGTGTGCAGATGAACAGTGTTTGGCTTCGTCCCGTGCCGCTGCCAGCACCCAAACCTCCCCCGCCAGAAGGGTTAGGGATCTCTGGAAAAAGTCAAATGATGTTCATTTGCGCACAATGTGATGACACACAGGTGGTTCAATATCAGCATAGTTTCCCTGCTTCCCTTCACTGGTTCCTGTATAGCAGGGTCAGTCTTTATTTCCCACTGTTATAATCATTAAAAAGCAAAAGCAGCATGTGTATACATTCAGTAGGCTATATCTTCAGTAGCTAGCTAGCTAACCCTACACTTTTCAGGGTCTGATTTTGGTTTTGGAACAGGGAAGAAACGTATATCTGTTTCCAACCTCTCCAGGTAACGAGTATCATTAATACACGATGTGCCCCAGGCACAACATTTAGCTCCAAATCCACAAAACCAGCCTGAAAATGAAGGAAATCTGAAATGAGTGCATTAGAGTCAATGGAGCACAGCTGTGTTGTTGGTGGACCCTGGTCTGAGTTGGCCAGATGCCGCTTTATGATTGGCCAGTCTGCGTCCAGGAGCGGGACTTAGCGAAAGGTCACTTGTGATGGCAACTGTATTTTTACTAATATGTCTGTGATGCATTCTGTAAGGTCGACCCAAAAAGGAATTAGGATTATTTTTGCAGTATGGTCTTTGTAATTGTTTTTGATAATAAAGGCCACTTTTGATATAGAGATCTCCTTCGCCATGTATCACAAACAATAAAAGGCCTTCTAGCTATAATTATGAATATTTGGCCCTAAGAACATTGAAGTTCAAGAAAAATCACCCTAGGAAAAGAAACGCAGAAACGACACATAGATAAAACGCCCCACTTTTGACATTCTCAACCTTTATTTCCGAAACAGTTTCCTCTGGCAGGAAACACAACCCACAAAACTTAACTTTGGAACAGTGACACATTACTTGACCCTGTCAAGCACAAAGTGTGTTTTAGCTCTTAATTCCTCTTGTTAAAAAGTTGGACCTGATGCTACACAGATATACTGCCAAATTAAATGAATTAAAAAATAAAACAAATGTTTTCTTTAATTCTGTCATTAATACCCCACATGCTGAATATGTGCATGTGTTTTCTGACAGCTGACAAAACACTTGTAACTCAAAGTGTTGTAACACAAATATTCAGATATTATTATCATTACCATCGTTTAATCAACACTTTGTGCTCTTTAAGCTGAATTTTAAAAACAGAAATGTATATATATAATAAGCCTATGATACATTTGCCATAGTTTAGTTTGAACTTATAAATGTATTTTCTGGGGCTGTAAGACTTTCAGAGTTACGTGATGTTGGTTTAATGTCAGTAATTACTGCCCTTCATCCACGTCGTCCGTCATCACACTGCATTTAATACAACCCCCTCAAGATCTGTCTCTAAGATTTCTGACCCACCTCGGTATCTGTTAACCACCTGTTTCTCATCCATCCCTACTGTTCCTGTCTCATCTGAGGAGCAGCAGGTCTCTGTAGGAGGCATCTCAGAGAGAGGTTGATATTGCAGACCTTTACAATCCAGATTGTCCTATAGTACTTTTGGCCATTTATACAGAACAGCCCCTTTAATGTCACAAGTTATAAAATGTTGTCGTGATTTCAGAAATCCCCCAAATGATCTTTTTTTTTAGCAGTTACTCATCCTGTGTTACTCTGACTTGGGGAAGAAAACTTTGTTTTTCTCACATGCCTTAATGGTGAACAAATAATTGAACTGCAGTCAAAGGGGATATTGATTAACATTAGCAAAACTACATCCAAATATCTGTTTGCAAACGCTCACACAACTTGTGCAGTATAATCCAAGTCTCATTTATCCAGTCATAGGCTCAGTACAACAGACCAACAAACACATGCATTTTTGCTATGTATTATGGAAGATTAGGGCTGTCAAATAATAATATATTTTTTTTTAATTAATTAATTAAAAAATCACTGATTTTCAATAGTTAATCACAATTATTCACAATTTAAATTGCATGTCTAATATTCCATCATTTTAGCCTTATTTTCAAGGTCTGGATGTGACCGAGGACGAGACACCTCCACCTGGAGTAGTATCCAGCTGGGCTTTATCTAGAGCTCGCGAGATATATTTCGGCTGCGCTTTGGAAAGCAGAGCTAAATGGTAAGCAAACATGGCAGCACACTGGTAAGGTAAGACAACACATTTACATATCGTTTTCTATATGTTCTCTGACATTTATCCTAACGATATGAGGCAGTCTTTGTGGAAAAAAGCTTGTTTAGTGGACTAACTTTGCACTTGAAGGTTGCCCATTCACTTACGTTTTAACAGGTCTGACGCTACTATGCGCCCCGGCTGTATCTAGGCTAACGGCTAACATGCTAACTATTATTTTTATGTCACTAGTCACTTGAAACAAATTTAGGACGATAGGAGACAGGTTGAAATAAACTGAAATTTCCCTTTAACAGAGTGTCTTGTTTGCGAAATAAAGGAATGCAAAAAAAATTACTTTGTGATCTTGACTTTTAGATTTATTCATTTCAAATCAGTGCTGCACTGCTTCAACAGTGTGGGCCCGGTCTAACCGTCAAAGCAAAGGAATGCAATGTCCAATCAGTGTCAATTATTTGCTTATTTAATGTTTATTTGTATAAGGACAAGTATGTAGCATACATGAATGCCACACACCACAGCCTTTATAGCCTAAGCTAATTTGCAATGCCTGTCCCTTACTGGGGAAGATACAAAGACTCAGCAACAAGAACGCAAGTAACAGTGCAATGTACAAACAACAATAAAAAATACAGACAAAACAACACAAGACACAAACTGCTAGTTTAAAGCAATCCAAATCAGGATCCAATTTGAGTTCTGTAGGTAAAGAAATCCACGTGTTAAAGCTGTTTGTCCAAATGAGGTTTTACTCACGTGTTACTGAGCCAGAAGGTCTAAGTGGAACCACAAGGTCACTGAGCACCTGGGGAGCCTGATTATGCAGTCATTTATGGATGAGTTTGAAACTTGCAAAATTAATGAAATAATCAAAACTTAACATATTTAGTTTCTAAAGGACATGGCAATGATGTGCTCTTGTTGGTTTCCTGTCCAAAAATGTAATTGCTCCATTGTATATCATTGTAAGAGGCTTAGTTATTGTTGATGCTGCTTACACAGTAACTTAAATGTGAAAAAAATCATAGCATGCCTGAAACTGTTGGCAGCGTGAAATGGAAGACAGTCTCTGACAAGTCCAAATGTATGCAAGTTTGCTTTTGCAACCCTGCTCAACATCTTAATATGCTTCTCAAATTTTAGTTGTGAATCTAATATGAGGCTGAGGTCTTTTACCTCTGAGACATGACATGAAAGGTCACAACATGCCAACCTGAGGATGTCCCTTAGACCTGAGTTTTCCACGATATTGACTGGTCTGCAGTCAGTTGCCACCTGTTTTGCAAGTGCTGTAGTTAACTTCTTTGATTTAGTTTCAACCACAGGTCTGTGGCAATTCACATACTCCAAAATAGTGTTCTGCAAGCTTTAGCGATGTGGTTGCTTGCTGAAATCTGATCAGCTGCACGTGTAGGCTTAGCACGTAGGTTGAAGCTTTGGTGATATTTTAATTCTGCTTGACACAAGTTGTCAATAGAGCCGTCTGGGAGTTTTTAAAGTGAAATGAGCTATTCAGAAGCACAGTGATGTTATTTTTCATCACTGTGGCAACAGGAAGCAGGAAGTCACTGTGGCAGCTTGACTACAAGTAAGAGTGTGTCGGAGGGACAAAATAGCGGCATACAATTACATTAACATGTTTATTTTATTTTTTTTGTAAAGATATTTTTTGGGACATTTTTGCCTTTATAGATAGGACACCTAAGCGTGAAAGGTGGGGGGGGGTGTAATGACATGCAGCAAAGGGCCACCCGGGGCCGCTGCAGCAACAGCCTCGTACATGGGGCTCCTGCTCTATCCACTAAGCCACCGACGCCCCTAAAATATTACAGTTTTAGCAAAAATGCATGTGTTTAGAAAGTACTGAGCATGTGACTGGATAAATGACATTTGGATTATACTGAATGATTTGTGTGAGTTTTTGTAAACTGATGTTTAGATATTGTTTTGTTGTTGTTAAACGCAGACCCCTACAAATTCAATTTATCAAGATTTTTTTTCTGTTTTTGGTCTCTTCTTCACCGTGAAGGCATGTCCGAAAAACAATGTTTTCTTTCAGGATTCAGCATAATACCTGGTGAAAAACTAATAGAAAAATGATCATTAGGGGGCAAAGTATTCCTTTAAGTAAACATAAGGCCGAACTGCAGGCATGTTATCTTGATCTATAACCTAATATGTAGACGGTTTACGAAATCAGAAAACAAAGTCGACAAGGAGCAGGTCAGGAGCAGCAAACACAGATGTGAAATATGTGAAATGTTGAAGCAGAAGTAAACCTGTGCTGATGTTAAAAGTATCCTGGCTGTGTTTCATTTCAATCAGGAGAGCCAGGTGAATAAAGTAAAGATAAATGTTTAATACAGATTAACAGATGATATGTGATGAGTAAGAGTTGACAGAAAGTCTTTGGTGCATAGACTCCCCAGGAAATTGTTACTGAAGGGCATTTGCCCTGAGCAGCAGCAAATAAATCCCCCCATGGAGTCCAGACGCTGGTGGTGGTGGTGGTGGCTCTGCCAAGACTGAT